CCCCAAAACCCCAAAACCCCAAAACCCCAAAACCCCTAATAATAGATCTTTATTGAACTGAAGGCTTATTTATAAAATCAATAATATTCCATGCAAGATGAAAGAGTATCAAGGCTGGATATTTCTGGCAAAGATGGGAAGAAAACAGAGCCCAACAAGAAGAGAGAACATGGGGTACTGAGAGGAAGAAAATCCAAGCCACAAACAAGCACAGGAAAGACTTTTTGAGAGAAGATTTGAGCAAATAATACTAATGTTACGCTCTTTGCGAATGAATTTTTCAGAAGGCAAAATGAAGATAATGTAGATCATGAAGAAAATGAATCGATTAATATTCTTTCGCAAAAAGTAGAAGGCATTCTTGAAGATAAACTTAATACTTTTGGGAGTGTTCAGAAAATATCTTTGACTCAAGAATCAAGAGATAATGCGAAGAGAGACCTTCCGAGTGAAGAGGCTCAAGTGGAAATCATGCAAAAATCCCTCTAAACCTGAAGGATTCTAAAGATTTCTTTCCTGTAGAGATCAACGAAATCTGAGAAGGGCTAAACCAAGAGGGTATTAATGAGATAGACTCAACAGGGGAGCAAAGATATACAAACTCTGATAAGGTATATATCACTCAGGATTCCACAAAAGCATCAAGATATGTTGAGGAATCTTTACTTGAAGCAAAGGATAATGCTTGTAGCTCTCTACAATGTGATGAGAGCCTGGATGATCTTGCTGTATCTGATCGAGACTGTCAAGATTCTCTAGCGAAGCCATGCCTAAAAATTCCAATTTCACTTATCAACAGCAAATCTATGCCTCATTCTCATAACGAACATAGAAATTATCAAGAATCTGTTTACAAAACAAATCCTGAGTACCTCAAACTCAATCATCCAAGTTTGAGTCCAAGAATGGTCAGCTTAGTCTTACATTGGGTTCAACAATGCTGTGAAGTGTTTTATCTCAAACGAGAAACCTATTATCTTGCCTCTTGCTATTTTCATCTCTACCTTAGCAAGGTAGAAAACTTAAAACCGAAACACTTGCAATTAATTGCAACATCGTGACTATTGATTGCCTTCAAAATTGAGGAACTTGGACTGCTTTCCTGTAACTCTCTTGTTGAGGTGAATAACGGACAGTGATCTAAAACTGATATTGTAGTCATGGAAAAGCACATATCTAAAACACTATGTTGGAAATTATATCCCAAAACGCTGAATAATATCTTGGGACAAGCTACCAGACAGTGGGATGATTTTGTCAATGGAAATCTCCGAGTCTTCATCAGCCTTGGTCTGATACCTCAGGCTATGGATTCAGATGAAAATAAATTCAATAACTTCATTGGTAGCAAGGTATTATGAGATGTGTCATCAATTGTTGAAAATAACTTTTGCTTCCAAGATTCCCAATATGCTGAAAGGGTTTTAGGCAGTCATCCAACTTACTCTTGTTTCAGATACTTAGCAGGTATTCTGGACATGATTGATCTCGATATAAAATCACTCGAATATAATAAAGCCAAACTAGTACTTTCGGTACTTTATTTAGTGATTGGTTTGAGAATGTCAATTTTTCATAAAAAGCATCTCAAATTAAAATTTAAGCATGCTGCTAAAACTAGTGACTTAGGATTTGAAAGTTGTAGTAATCCAGATTCTTCACTTGAAGGTACCACTCCAATCAGCCTCTTCCAGTTGCTCCAAACCTCCGATCCGAAACTACCTTCTCACTACCAAAGTCTCTTCTTCAAGATCAAGAATTTTACCTACCTATTTACTTGTTTCCTTAGGCAAGAGTACTCCTGAACATATGCTTCCTTAGTAGATTGCTTGGAGTATGCGAGCCTGTTTGTAGCAGAGGCTCAAGAGGTGTATCAGATGCCAGAGGTTGTTTTTGCAACTGAACAGGAGGTGAGAGTGAGGGAGATCAAGCCTTTGAGGTTTTCGGATATCATTAACTCATTCACATTTGACCAAGATTTGACATCAAAACTAAAGAAAATTTCAGAGAAAAGAAAAATATCAATAACACCTAATTCGAGCTATACATAAACATTCAGATACTTTCGGGTGATTATGAAAGGATTTTAGTTATAAAAGTTAAAACTTCTTTCCCAAAATAATGAAATATCTTTTAAGCAAAAATTTTCAGAATAATCCTTGGGAGTAATAAACTACAGAAAATTCTTTCTTTTATAAAATAAATAGCATTAGTTTTACAAAAAATTTGAAAAACGGTAACAATTAATTTGCCGTCTTCGTCTTAATAACCTTCTATAATTATAAATTGGCACCATTCAACCTTCGTGAATTCACACGGGGTTTTGGGGTTTTGGGGTTTTGGGG